AAGAGTGGAATGAATTTGAGAAATACTTAGAAGACCGAGGGGAGGGGAGACACAGCACTGCTAAAGCATATAAAGCTCTCACGGATTTAGATAGTAAGCTTAAATTAAAATATATAGAAAAATGGGAAAAGGATTTAGGAGTGGAGTGGGAAGAGCACACACAGAGGAAAATACATAGAATGGTACAACGAAAATATTAGCATGCGTGAGGTGGAAATGAATTTTAAATGTTTGACAAGGTGGTATCTTACACCGGTGATAGAGCACAACATGAGTGAGGAGAAGCAACCTTGGTGTTGGCGAGGGTGTGGAGGGTTGGGCACGATGTATCACATATGGTGGGAATGTTCAAAAATACAAGTATATTGGGAAAAAATTAGAAATCAAATCACAATTATCACTGGAATAGAGATAGGACTGGACCCTGAAACCTGTCTTTTTCATAATTCAATATTACCTGGAAATAAATATAAAGAACTGGGTATAATGTGCTACTTAAATGCAGCACAAAGTCTGATTCCTAGGTTTTGGCGTAAAGTTGAGGCACCGAGGGAAGAGGATTGGATGAATAGAGTGGACCAGATTGCTAGAATGGAAAAACTTTATTATATGCAGGAAGATAGGATGGTGACATATCATATGAAATGGGAGAAATGGGAGGAGTTCAAAGTAAAGGTAAAGGAAGGTACTGAGTAAGTAAGCATAAAGAAAAGGGAAAGAGAGGATAAGAAGAAAGGAAGGGAAAGAGGAAAGGCCAAGGAAAAGGAGAAAATATAGCAATTAGCCTGTCTTTCTTTCTTCTTCTTTTCCAAGCCTCGGTATCCAGAGGCTGTGAGATACAAGTCGATCAGATAGATGTCAGGGGTATATTGAAGCGGGGTGGGAGGTGGGAGGGTTGAAAGGAAGAGAGTTATGGGGAGAAAATGATATGAAATTAGTGTTTTATGAGCTTTTTGTAATGTTATATTTTACATTATGGAAATGTGTATCGTTTTACTTGAAAAATAAATAAATATTTAAATAATAAAAAAAAAAACTGTGTGCCTAGCTATGTGTTTTGTGTACACAGTAATGTGCTTGTACTAGGCAATCTGCTTTTCAGGGAAAGAAAATCTAGCAGATCGCTGCTGATAGAACACAGCTCTGCCTTGTTCACCGAGTAGAGCTGTGTTCTGTCAGTCTCCTTGGCAATCAACAAGTGCCACACTCATCCATTGGCTGGCACCTGTTGATCGGCTTCTGCTGTGTCCAATCACAGCAGAAGTGGAGCTCCGGCAGGGCTCATGCACACCCCCTATGGCAGAAGAGCAATTTATGTTTATATACGTAATTTTGCACAGAATGTCCGCCCTGTAGCAGTAAATTTGCTATAGTGTGGACAGAAAGTGTTTATTATTATTTATTTATTTTACACACTGTTGTTTTTTTTCTCTCTGAAAGAGAGCAAGAGATACAATGTAACACAGGGCCAATCTGAGGCTATCACAATGATCAGGTGAATCAGGAGTTCCAGATCCTGATCATTAGTACGGGACTTGGGGCTCTCGGTGAAACCCCAGTCTCTGTGCTGGGAGCGCACCCCACAAAAAAAAGCCCAGTCCAGTGGGGCTGCATATTTGCGTACGCTCGAAGAGAAGGAGCAAAACTACTGATTTAAATAACTGTCTTATTCACTTGCAATATGCTGCTGGCACCACATCCAAGATGGTGGTGTCCAGTAGTCACAGGCCTTTTCATACCTACGCATGAGAGGATCTTACAGCTAAAAAATGCATAAAATATGTTAAATGCATGTATAACCCTAATATACTTCAGAGTGGGTTAATCAAAAAGATAGACAGTATGTGTAATAATTACAAATACAAAAATTAATAATTACAAACAAATGGCAACCACCCTAACCTATAACTGTCCTTTGCAGCAAGGAGCACATGGAAGGGTGACGCATTTCAAAGAACAATAAACAAAAATTCCCAGCTCACATACCAGCCAGCCTGTAACAAACCGAATGACTCTGCCTAACAATTAAGGTTAAAACAAGGGGTTTAGTTTGCACACATTTGCAAATATATGCGTAAGCTGCAGAGGCCATGTCACGGCACCCCAGTATACTGCACTCCTAACGCAAGCAATCTTGAGAGTCTCCGAAGTTGGAGCATGTATATAATAATAGTTAGATTGAGGGCAGATATGCCTGGAAGGAGCCCACCTCTCCTTAAAGTTTTAGGGACATGCTGGACACCTGGCAATAGCACAATGGCAGTGAAGGTATCCAGTGTGTCCCCTCACCAAGTCACCAACAATACAAACAAATGGCACCCACCCCAACCTATAACTGACCTTTGCAGAACACATGGAAGGGTGACGCATGTCAAAAAAACAACAAACAAAAATTCACAGCTCTCTTACTAGCCACCCTACAACAACCAAATTACCCTGTCTAACAGTTCACATTAAAACAAGAGGACAAGACTTGTTTTGCAAGCATATTCTATTATATATATATATATATATATATATATATATATTATATTATATATGTTGCAGAGGACATGTCACGGCACCCCAGTGTACTGCAGTTCCAACTCTATAAATTTATTTAGTATTTATAATTCATCTAAATCCATACCCCAAAAGAGGGATCATTCCTGGATGGTCTGGAATGATAAACTATAATCAGAAAAACAGTATATATATAATTTTTAAAAAAACCTTATAGGATGTAGAAATGATTTTATTACCATACAAAAACTAACCAAAGCCCTCAAAGACCAAAAGCACATACAATAGAGCGTAAAAACATTTAAAAATCGAGACACAAACAATAATTGTTTCACTATTTTTCTCCAGTTATCTCTAGTATCAGGCCCCAAAATTCAGCTGCCTCAAAATGAGAAGTAGAGTGTTGAAAACAATTGAACAACTGTGGAGAAAAAAGAGAAGGAGATTGTGGTTCTGAAAGCCTTACTTAAAAGAACGGTGTTTCTAAAATGACTGAAAATGAGGAAGAGGTTGCAAAAAACTTGAATAAAACAATTAGCAAAAAAAAAATAAGGGTAAGCAACTTAAAAAAAACATGAGTAAAGCTTAAAGATGCTTTTGAAGCAAGGAGGAATATCCACATCTGGCGGGGAAGTGGTTTTTATTGTTCAGTGAACAGACCGCTGTATCTCTCAGTCATAAACCAATGGCACTAGTGGCTTTTACCTTGACCATAATTTTCTAGTAACAGCCAAGTGCTAACACCCAAACATGGTCCCAGGATGGGATCTCTACCAACACCGAAGCAGATAAAGGTAAATTAAACGGTATAAATAATTTATATGTTTTGTTATGTGGGAAATGCCATTCCTGGAAAGCCCAGGGTTCTTCTATTTCTACACATCAAACCTCCATAAAGACTTGAGCATGGCTTTCTTCTGCCTCTAAAACTGAACTCCGAAATAAGCAAATATTATTTAAATAAAAGTCATGTGTATTCCTAATCAAATCTTAGTGTGCTTTGTGTATTTCTTCCAGATGTGTGCAATAATCCAGTGTGAATTTTCCTCTGTGAAGGAGATTCCTGTAATAAAGACCAGTCACTGCTGTTCTCTTTCCTTGTGCAGAGTGGCTGGTCTTGTCTCCACCCTCCTATAGTTTTCTGCAGGCAGCCTGTACTCGGTGGAGTTGCTGGACCCCTCCCACAGCTCTGTTCTTTGCACAGACTATGTACAGCACAGTGATGATGTCGCTGTCTTTAAATTTACTAGTTTTAAAATCTAAAATTTGGGCGTGCCAAGGCATTTGCTGCACACATAGTGGATTTATATCCTTTGTGGCTATTGAGCTTTATCTTTGCATGAAACATTCAATGGCTAGAGTTCAGCTTTAAGTATGGATTGTCACTAATCTGCTCCATTGTTGTGCTTAACCATACATGCGTTGTGTTAAGGCAGCTCATTCATTTTGTATGGACTGCCCTCATATGATATTGCAGATTATTATTATTTTTTTAAGTCTGCGGAGATGCGGAAAAACTAAAACCTGTAAGTGTACAAAACATGTGCAAGTGCAAAAAACAACAAAAATGCAGGTAAGGGTGTGCTTTTGACCACCCGCCCCCCCCCCCCCATCCCCCCGAAGGGGTAGGACCTCTACCCTGATCCCCCAAGGCACAAGGCTCCTTACAGGGACAAGGGGTTTCCAACATGTCCACCTAGCCAAAAGGCCTGGTGGACCCCTTTCCTTGTGGCTAGCTGAAGCCGACCACCAAGTACTAGGTCAGGGAGCTTTCCTGAAGAGAGAGACCCTCCCCCCCCAGGAACAGGGGAGGAAGGAACCTAATGGCCACTCATCCTCCCCTTAGACTTCAGGGCCAGCCCAAGGACCCACACCCTCCATCCAAGTGAGAAAAAAACAAACGAAAGTGAAAGGTGACAGCGACATTGCAGATTATGATGCACTTGCAGCATCATTGTCATTGCAGTACATCACAAGGCACAGTTTTGCAGCCTCCAAGGCACCCTATCTAGCTTGGGGGAGCTACCTAGTGTGAAATGTTCCTGCCAGGAAGGGAGGATGAAAGATCTGGCATTGGTTCAATCAGTGAAACTGAATTCATGCTGTCTACATCACCATCTAGAAACACATATCACCCACCTCTTGTGAAGCTGGCTTAATTTTTAAAACATACAAGCTGATTTTAGAGAGGAAAAAGGGGTATGCAAAATTAATTTCACTTTCATCAGTTACCAAAAAGGTGTCTGATTCTCTTTAATCATTTCCTGACCGCCCTATAACAGAAATACTGCTTCAGGGCGGCACGGGTGCGCAAAATCACATATATATATATATATATATATATATATATATGTATATATGTGATTTTGCAATTCTGGGTAGAGGGCATGCGCAAGCTGCGTGTCATTCACGGGCGCAGCTGTCAATCACCGGGTCCTGGCCACTGATTGCTCGCCGGTACCCGGTGATTTCCGAGGATCTTCGACTGGGAGGAGAACTGTTTTATTTACTAACAGTTCTCCTCCCTGTCAGCTCAGGCACACTGCTTTGGATGGCTGTGCACAGTACAGCCATCCAAAGCAGTGTGGTTACAGTGAAGCACACTGACACAGCCCCCTGGTAAAACACTCTCAGCACACAGTTAACCCTTTGATCGCCCCTCATGTTAACCCCTTCCTGCCCAGTGCCATTAGTACAGTGTCAGTGCTTCTTTCAGCACTGATCACTGTATAGGTGTCACTGGGGATGTCAGTAACACCAAGTCAGTTCCCTTTAGTGTCATAATGTCCACCGCAGTCCCGCTATAAGTCGCTGATCACCACCATTACTAGTAAATATAAAAAATAAAAATAGAAATCCCAGTATATACACGTATTGGGATTCTTTTTAGCAAAAACATGTAGCAGAATACATTTTGGCCTAAACTTATGATGAAATTTGATTTTTAATTGTTTTTTTACTGGACATGTTTAATAGCAAAAAGTAAAAAAAAAATGTTTTTCTCAAAATTGTCAGGTTTTTTTTTATAGTGCAAAAAATAACTGCACAGGTGATCAAATACCACTTAAAGAAAGCTCAATTTGCGGGGAAAAAGGACGTAACTTTCATTTGGGTGCAGTGTTGCATGACCGCGCAATTGTCAGTTAAAATAACACAGCACCGTAACACAAAAAATGGCCTGGTCAGGAAGGGGGGTAAATACTCTGGAGGGCAAGTGGTTACAGTGTACGAGCACAAATATTTGACCAGACAGCACAAACACAGGCTTGTGCTACAAGTGGCTGGTTTACAACTGTATATTTATTTTTCTGTACTCCAGTGTTACATGTCAAAATGAAGTAACAGTCCTCTGTGATGATATAACATTTCATGACCTTTAACAAGACTGCATAATCCTATGTACTGTGCAGGAACATACATGCTATGACCTAAGATTTTTTTTTGTGACAGCACCAGTTCCCCACCATACACAGTAGATCAACATTAAGGGGCCTTATTATGAAAAAAAATCACTTTGCAAATGTCTCAGTATTGGCACAACCATCATGCAAAATCCCTGTAATGTGTGAGACACAGACAGATAAAATACTTTGAGGGGTTACAATCTTTCTCCACTCGAATCAAAATCATTCTCACAGCTGTCACAAATAATCCATGTAATGTGTCTAATATGTTTATTTATGATGATTGTCAGCTCCCTCTAGTGGCCTGAATGTGGTATTTTCCTGAAATACCTCAATTAATAAAATTCAGCATTATATCCTTTAGTTGGAGATGACATTCATGGGAAATATTAGACACATTACAGGGATTATTTGTGACAGCTGTGAGAATTATTTTGGATCGAGTGGTGAAAGATTGGAACCCCTCAAAGTATTTTATCTGTCTGTGTCTCCATTTGAGTTTGTCACCTTCTCTGTTTGTCCTGGTGACCACTGTTGCTGTGTCTAGACTTAAAGTAAGGAAAAATTTTAAATTTTGATCTGTCACCAGAACAGCAATACAGGGGAAGTCTTTTAATGGGGTAAATTGTTCTATTAAAACTGACAAAAAAGGATGTACTTTACTTTAGAGAGGTTTCTTCTCACTTCCTGTTGTATCTACAGTACAGGAAGTTAATGGAAATTTCTCCAATGGGTCACAGATTGCAAAAAAGGGATAAAAACCAGGGGTGCTCCAACAGCTGTGCCCAAAAAATATAAGCAAAGGACTAGTCACCAGTATTGCTCTTTCTGTCTCTGCAGATGATAGTTCCCCATTACTAACTTTCTAGGTCTTATTCTACACTGTCTTTTAGTGGAGGCAGCCATCTTGGTAGAGCCGGGGATTTACTTCCTTTTGTTAGAGCCTTCCAGCAAGGAGAACAGAGGGCAATACAGTAATGACATCACTTACTGCAAAGTCTAGTCAGAGCCAGCAGTGCCTTAGATCTCACACTGCAGATATACAACTACAGTATAAGGCTATTGGCACAGAAGTGCCTAGGCACACTTACATACTAGGAAGTGCACTGCTATTTTCAGAAGGAATGCCAGACATAAAGTAAACCGCTTAGGCACAATTAAGATTTATAGATTTTTTTCCTATACTATAGCAAATCTTCCTTTTGTTCAGTTCCACTTTAAAAATTATCTATTCTTTTCAAATTGTAAAAAAAAAAAACTTTTGGCATTAGACATACTATAACTCTGAATGATAACGCATCATTAGTGACTGTAGAACTTTCCCTGAGTCAACACTGAATCAAAGCAGTATAATCTGTGATAATTATGACATTAGACAGGGAGGGGCAGTGGTTTATAGCTAGCTCAGAAAGCTATGGGCTGACGGCTGATATATGGTGCATTTGGATTTTGTGCAAGCTTTTTATCTTTGTAGATTTTTTAGCATTGCACATCAGGTACAATATAACTCAGTCAATGCTGTATTTTTATTCAATTTAATAAAAAATACAATTAAAATCCATTCTAAACTTTCCTTGTATATTGTTGCAGTAGAACACATCACTTGCAGACCTATTATTGTTGGCGCTGTTGCTATTTTTTCACAGGTGCCAAACACAAATATGCAGATAAATTTGAAATATTCAGTACAGAAAAACTGAGCTTCCTGTTCTGGCCTGCATGCAAGTGTTAAATTATGAGTAAAAAAAGAAAGACGTTTTTCCCTTCCGTCAGCACTAACAATGGGCTTCAAGCATGAGAAACAAATGACAGAAACTGTCTCAAATAAAATGTGTACATTAACAATAAAATGGTCTTTACTTAAAACGATATTGAACCCCAAAACAGAAATGTAATATATTGCAGCTTACCCGTTCTTAGAGAATATATCTGCAGTAGTTATGTAATTTTTTTTTAACCTCATGATCTGATAAATAACACATTCCCTGTCTTAGAGTGGCTCCTCTATCTAGGAAGCAGTAACACAGCCACCCTTGGACAACAGCACTGTCTGTAGAAGGTAGTTAGATGGACATTACATATGTGACAAAAAAAATTTAAGCCTAAAGCCTGGTACACATTAAATTTTTTTCCTAGGTTCACATAAGAAAACGGAGGTTTAGAGTTAGAACTGCAGTATACTGTGGTGCCTTGACGTGGTCACTGCAGCTTACATATATGTTTGCAAATATGTGCAAACTAAACTCCTTATTTTTAACTTGTTATACAGGGTCAGTTTGGTTTTGTTGCAGACTGGCTGGTAAGTGAGCTGGGAATTTTATTTGTTTTTGACATGTGTTGCCCTTCCGTGCTGCAAAGGCCAATTATAGGTTGGGGTTGTGATAATTTGTTTGTATAGTTGGTGAATGGGTGCAGGGATGCACTGGATACCGTCAGCTGCCATTGTGTCCTTGCTGGGTGTCCCATGCATCCCTGTACCTTTATGGAGAGACGTTCTCCCTCCAGGTACACCTACCCTTAACCTACCCATTACTATATGTCTCCAACTTGGGAGATTCTCAAAATTATAGAGTTAGGACTGCAGTACACTGGGGTGCCTTGACATGGCCACTGCAGCTTACACACATATTTGCAAATGTGCTCATACAAATGCAGCCTGCCTAGAAACTTCCACTCCAACATACTGAGACCAACCCATTTATGCATCTTGATATTTTGCACAAGTCCTTCCAAGAGTCAGCCCACTGCTTGTATCATTTCCAAGGGCTTTTACGAGGAGCATTAAGGCATAGTGCAGTAATGTTTTCTGGAAGCTATGCACAGCTCCCTGCTGGGCCCTCCTATCAGCCATAATTTGCCTGCATTCCATAGAGAAGCACAAAGTCCCAGTAATGACATCCATCATGCAGATGTAGTTGTTCAGAATGATGAGCGAAGAGACTCGAAACATACATAAGAAATGTTTAGGGTGCTTATTATCTGCTCTCATATTCCAAAGGAAGGGTGTAGAAGAGTTCACCCATTATATTTATTGATTTCAGCCCTCCTTATTTTAATACAATATCCTGTTTTTTCTATTTGTTACAAGCTCATTATTAAGGTAAAATGAAAAGTTGGCACTGTCTCCAAATTTGCCTGGATTTCAATTTTCATGATGAAACAGGAACATGAAAACCCTAGATGATCTTCTTAAGTTAAGCTCCACTGAAGCGTCTGCAAAGATGTATTAATCTTAAATGTTAAGACGGAGTGTCACATTATGACAAGATATTACTTCCTGGGAAATAGCCTCTAAAGGGTTCCATCTACTGCAGACGACGGGAAGTAATAATCAGCATATCAGTGGTGGAAAAGAAAGAGCCATTGAGTAATGCATTTTGTATGAAGCAGTTTAACTTACATCTCCATTGTGATCATCACACAGATCATTGACCCCAAACTCTCTATAGATTGTTTCATTCTGCAGCTCAGAAGAAAGAGACTTGTGTAGACAAATGCCCAGTTAGTTATTTGCCGACAGCTATCTACACCATGTCATGAATACTGGCTAATCTGTGGCAACACTTAATGAGACAGGAATGTTGGCCAAGCTCTCCACAACGCAGTGAATAACCGCTTATGGGTCACTGGAGACAGATTCTGTCCTTTATCTACATTCCATTGTTCTTACTCTGTCCCTACTAGATGAAAAATTTCAGTTGTAATATTAACTGTACAAAAATTACAGCTGAAGGATTTTATGGATGAGAAGGATGAAGGTCTACATGGCAAGCTGGTTCATTTTGAAACTGTAGATCCACCCACATGGCATGAGACCGATGAGCTCCCTCAGGATCCATAGCTAAGTTCTTCGGTTTCTGCATTTTGCTGATGACAAGAGAAGAGATCTTCAGGTCTGATTTGATGTTTTTTTTTACTTAAAGCAGGATTTGCATTGTCATAGAATTCCATGGCAATGCAAACCTGCTTGAAGCAGGCCAAATGTAGATTTAGAAGGAGGTCAATAGCAAGTCAAAAGCACTTGTCAATGAATTCGGAATTATTTCAGATGTGTTTGAAATAGATATCAAAATAATGCCATTGACACTATCCCAAAGCCTTTCAACACTTGCCCTTATGATGACCATAGGTGTGAGCGTCTACATATGACATCCAAGTGGGAGATGGCTACACCCAATAAATATGGCATTTATGGATAAATTCAGTTACTGATGACCAGCCTGTGAATGGGCACTTAAAAAACTGAACTCCAGCCCTGAGATATGAGCAGACTGTCCATGTCCCCACATACAATGCAGGACCAACATGTATGTGAAGGAGCGGTGATGAAGAGTTGCTTAGGGGGATCACTTGTCTGTTCTGGAACCAGTGGGGGGGGGAGCTTGCAAGAGCAAAAAATACTGTAAACATGTATAAATAAAGTGCAGTGCTATAAACGCACAATCTGTATAAAGATATTGATGCGCTAATCAATATAAATTATGCTCTTAATAGTGTAATCAAAAGGCATATAAAAAGAATGCAGCAGTGCAAATAAGTGAATCAATCAATGTCCATAATATTGCTATATATCAATCAGCAAATCTCAATCGATAATAGTCCTCAAATCAATTTGCAATGTATCCAAGTGCAAAAGTGCAAACGTGCAAAAATCCACGAAGCGAATCCACCACCTTGGACGGATGTACACTCACCAGAAAGCAAACATTAATAGGCATCTGTTAAAACCTGTCACATCTGGAGGTGCAGAGGTAAAGAGGCATCCCAGGGGTTAATCCTACTGCTTCATCCATATTCAAGTGGGGAGAGTATCCCTTGTCCTGGGAAAGATAGCTCAACCATAGGAGCCAGAAATGCTAATATAGTGTAGTATTTATTATTTATATAAATCTATCACAAGCAGCTTTAAAATTCCATGTGGAGTATGATAAAAGCAAATACCAAGATGGCCGCCGCTTCGTTCCTTGCCAGTACCCCTGAAGACGTGCTGTTGCACGAAACTCGTTGGTAGGAGCCTACATTGCTGATGTCATGCCGCTGCTGCCGAGAAACAGCAGAATATATTTTGGTGTAAATTTATGACGAAATTAGATTTTTTTACTGGACATGTTTAATAGCAAAAAATCAAAAATATTGCTTTTTTTTCTCAAAACTGTCATTCTTTTTTATTTTCATAGTGCAAAAAATAAAAACCCACACAGGTGATCAAATACCACCAAAATAAAGCTCAATTCGTGGAAAAAAAGGGCATAAATTTTATTTGGGTGCAGCATTGCATGATCGCGCAATTGTCAGTCAAAGTAACGCAGCGCCGTAATGCAAAAAATGGCCTGGTCAGGGAGGGGGGTAAATCCTCAGGAGGGCAAGTGGTTAAAGCGGTTATAAACTTAATTTTTTTTCGTAGCCTCCCTAGCGGTCTGATTATATCAGTATTTCTGTGCTCAAAGCGGTACTTTTTTTGCATGGAAATATGTATTTTTTTTTATTGTAGGCCTGTAATGTTTAGGAATAACTCACTGAAATCTGTCCGAACAAGAGTCTAATAAACATCGCGGGTATGTTAAAATTTGAAACACAAAATCATAAATTATAATTTAATTAATAATCATAAAAAATAATAAACAAAAACACTGAAATTTGAAATATAGCGCCAAGTTCGCACTTCACTGAGCAAAGTCGCAAAATCGTTTTCAGTGTCTAATGACGAATTTCCCCACAAATCATTATCACTCAATTCTGAAAGTAGTTCTGATTTACTATCGCTGTTTTCTAGCTGGTCTAAAACCACTTTTGACCTAAAGGGACGCTTTTTGGACACCATGGACATTTCTCAGTTTCCAGGCAGAAAGAACAGTAAAAATGCAGGCAGGGCACAGGACAAAGCACTCGGGACAAAATGTATGTGAAATGCTTTGATACAGCAATGTTTTACTATGTGATTTTAGTGTATTTAGTGAATGTCACTTTTTCACATTTTTCAATTTCCTGCCAGTTCCATCCCCGTACGTCCTAATGTCGCAGGGAACGGAACCCAGGAGACAGATGCCGGCATCAACCGGAGGACATTGCCGGGGACACTGCAGGAGGGACATCGCGGAGTGAAGGACAAGGTAAGTGAAGAAGAGATCCCGGAGCAATGCTACAAGCTATTCCTGAGTGTAGCTCGGGGTTTCCGCTTGTGGTGCTGAAACTTTACCCTGAGCTACACTTGGGAATACCTCCAGGGAGGTTAAAACAAAAAAGACGATATCCTTACTTGGTCTGTGCAAGGATTGCACAAAGTGGCTCCTTACGTCATCTTTTGGGGTCCCCCGCCTGTATTTTCTGTTCTTCCTCTTCTCTGAGTGCCTCAATTGCAAGCCGGCTGCTATAGGGGTACTCCTGCGGGCACCTTCCCCAACCGGGCTGTGTGCATCCATAAACACATAGCGCAGATTGTCCCTGCCCCTGCTCCCTCCTCAAAGGATTTCATAGACAGCAGCAGGAGCCAACGGCTCCAGCTGCCATCTGAGTCTCCAGTGAATATTAAAAGAGAAGAACTGCAGCAGACGGGACAGTGCTGGATCGAGAATGGTCTCAGGTAAGTGTTTAAGGGGGAACTTATTGAAAGGATTTTTACCTTAATGCAGAGAATGCATTAAGGTAAAAAAAAAAAAACCTTTTGCCTTTAGAACCACTTTCAGCTGTCTAAAGCCAGATAAAAGTTTTTATGCAAACATACAAAGTTCCATGTTCATATTTGATTTGATCATATGTGAGATATGGCCCATAATATTGTGCTAACCTTTGACCAGTAAAGAAGCTGCAGTTCCACTCGAATGACAAAATGTAAATATTAATATGCAATAGGATTAAACCATTAATACAATATTATTAAATCCTGTATAATAATAATAATAATAATAATAATATCAGTTACATCATGAAATATTGCAGCCTTTCAGAGGTTGCAAAAGAAACTCAAGACAGTTATAGAAAAAAGAATCTTTGTTTTTGTTAAATAAATAAGATAACAAATGTATATTGAAAATTGGCTATACATTAACAGCTTTCATTATTAAACATTTACTATTTATTTTTGTTCAAAAGGGTTAAGTGTGCTTTCTTAAGGCATTTCGGTCAAGAATAAACTTGTCGTGTAACTGTGTAGCCTGAAAGACAAGTTTTAGCGTGAACAGTCAATCACAGAAAAACTAGCCCTGAAGCTTGAAATAACTTGAAAAATTAAATGGCAGACAGCCAGTAATGAGAAAATCAAGTCTTTTATGCTGCTCTCAGCCTCATATGGTGCTTTCACCACTCAGAGATTCCCTTCAGGTCCGCAGCATGGAGAATAAAAGGATCTCTGTAACAGGAGGGAAGCCATATTTGGTCCTGGCAGTAGAGCATGTTCTGCTTGTATTTTTCTTATTATATAATTAACAACGCTCACTTGTAGCCTCCACTCAGGCCGGTAGCTCAGGAATTCTAAATTATTATGCTTTTCATGAACTTTTTAACCAATCATAGACCCACAATGTCAGTGTTATTGGCTGTGCTGGTATTATTGTGGCAGCGATGTATATGTTTCTGCAGGAAGACGTGTTCATGTTGACTGTGGCAACTGAGCAGACTCTGATTTCATTCCATAGCTGTGATGGGGAATGAAATCAAAAACTTTAAGGGTTCTTGCACATGGGCCAGCTCAGCCTGTTCAGTGCAACTGCAGTCGTATTTCCTACGCCCCGGGCAGCCCTGGTGCAGAGCACACCTTCCATTGACATGAAAGGCTGTGTGCTGCTGTACTTGTGTATATGGCGGAGCTATGAGTACACCGTAATGATGTACGCAAGAACAGAATGCTTCACTTAAAGTGATATTAAACTCTCAGTTTTTAAGTGTTTTAAGCAGCTGACTTAATCGCTTACTGAGTTTGCAGTTGCTTTATTTTTTAATCCTTCCTATGTTCCAGTTTAAGGTGGTGCCATGACCCAGGTTTCCTGACCCAGTGGCTCCTCTCTCTTGCAGCATCTTATGGAGCCACCCTTGCAAGCAGGGACTAGAGCTGTGTTTCCCTACACTGTGTGTATCAATAGAAATAGAAAGCAGGAGTCAGCAGCACTATATACTGAAAGTCCTGAGTTAGTGAATTTAAAGTGATTTTAAAGGCAAACTTAAATAAAATAACAAACGTGATACTTACCTGCTCCCTGCAATGTTTTTTTCACAGAACAGCCCCGATCATCCTTTTCTTGGGTCCCCCACCAGTGCTCCTGGCCCCTCCCCCCTGCCAAGCATCCCCATAGCAAGCCAATTGCTATTGGGGCACTTGTGCCTGTTCGCTACCAAGCCGGCTTTTGTGTGTCCATAAACACAGAGAATGGCTCAGCCACGTCCCTTGCTCCCTCCTCACTGGCTATGATCGATTGAGACAATGGCTCCCACTGCTGTCTCTAAGCCAATGAGAAGAGAGAGAGCCGGGAGAGCAGCTGGTCTTGTGCACATTGCTGGATCAAGATTGGGCTCAGGTAAGTACAGTGGAGGCTGAGAGGATAGCTGCACACTGAGAGTTTTTTACCTTCATGTATTGAATGCATTAAGGTAGAAAAAACCTTCTGCCTTTAGAACCACATTAACCGCCTCCTGCCTGCCATATAGTACAATGACGGATGCAAGGTGGTTCTCTCGTTCTGGGAGGACGTCATATGACGTCCTCCCATTCTAACCGCCCATGCGCAGCTCCGGGAGCTTGCAGCGTGGCGATCGGCGGTGTGCTGTGTCCCTCGGACACAGCGGATCACAGATCAATGGAAAGAGCCAAAGATGTGGATTTGGTCATGTGATCAGCTGTGTCCAATTACAGCTGATCACATATAAACAGGGAAATGGTGGTTATCAGCATTTCTCTCCTCACAAGCTGTCACACTGACAGCTCGAGAGGAGAGGAGAGCCAGTAATCAGCATTCCTCGGAGGGGACATGTACACAGATCATCAAGCCCTGATGATCTGTGTAGCCCCAGCAGTGCCACCTGCAGTGTCCAGCAGTGCCACCTGTCAGTGCTCATCCATGCCATCTGCCAGTGCCACATCAGTGCCACACTTCAGTGCTTACCAGTGCACATCAACGCCACATATCAGTGCCCATCTGAGCTGCCTTTTAGTGTCACCCATCAGTGCCAGTCAGTGCCACCTATCAATGCCAGTCAGTGCCACCTATCAGTGCTGCCAATCAGTGCCACCTATCAGTGCCAGTCAGTGCCACCTATCAGTGTGCATCAGTGGCACCTATCAATGCCAGTCAGTGCCACCTATCAGTGCCATATATGAGTGCTGCCTTTCAGTGCCCATCAGTGATGCCTGTCAGTGCCCATCAGTGCCACCTACCAGTGCCTCCTCATCAATGCCCGTCAGTGCCGCCTAACGGTGCCATTCAGCGCCACCTGACAGTGCCAGTCAGTGCCGCCTATCAGTGCCATATATGAGTGCTGCCTTTCAGTGCCCATCAGTGATGCCTGTTAATGCCCATCAGTGCCACCTACCAGTGTCCTCCTCATCAGTGCCACCAATCAGTGTCCATCAGTGCAGCCTATCAGTGCCCATCACTGCAGCCTCATTAGTGCACATCAGTGAAGGAGAAAAATCACTTATTTACAAAATTTTATAACAAAAACTAAGAAAAAATGTTTTTTTTTTTTAAATTTTAAGTGGTTTTTGGTTTGTTTATGAAAAAATAAAAAAACCCAGAGGTGATTAAATACCACCAAAAAAAGCTCTATCTGTCACACAAAAATGATAAAAATTTCATATGGGTACAGTGTTGCATGACTGCGCAATTGTCATTCAAAGTGTGACAACGCTGAAAGCTGAAAATTGGCCTGGGCAGGAAGGGGGTATAAGTGCCCTGTAGGCAAGGGGTTAAACAGTTTGGTGGCTAAGTGGTTAGCACTTCTGCCTAGCAGCACTAGAGTTGTCAGTTCAAATCTCAGCCACGGCACTACCTGCCTGGAGTTTGCATGTTCTCCTTGAGCCTGCATGGGTTTCCACTGAGAACTCTGGTTTCCTCCCACACTCCAAAAACATGCTGGTAGGTTGGTTAATTAACTCCTGTCTAAATCTAGACAGATATAAAAGACACAAATTAATGGAGTTCTGTATTCATTAACACTTTCCCGCCCGGCCTATAGCAGATTGATGATCGGGTGGGACACTCGCCATTGTGACTGGGCGTCATATGACGTCCTGTCAAAACAAGCTGCTCATGGGGCTGCGGGGCTGTGCAGCAGCGCGATCTGTCACCAGCTGTGTCCACATGACACAGCCAATGACATATCACTACACCGGCCCATTGCCAGTGTCATATGATCACTGTAACCAATCACAGCAGATCACGTCAATTGTATACAATGGATGGCTTCCTGTCATACCATCCATTGTATACAATTATGTTGTTAGCTGTGACTGGTCAAGGCAGTCACATGATACAGACAGGGCCAATCACAGCACATATGTATCATGTGATCAGCTTTTTCCAATCACAGCTAATCACAACAAAATCAGTTTCATTCAGTAACAATGATTGCAAATATCAATGAAATATATATTGGTATTAGCAATCATAATGTGTTAAAAAAAAATTTTAAATCCTGATCACTTGCCCAGAGTAGTTCAATATTACTATGGTAACATTGTATTGCTTTGGTCACAGTGTGCTGAAAAATAAAATAGTAAAAAAAAGAAAACGTAATAAAAATAAAAAAAATAGAAACATTTGAATAAAAATTCAATTACTATTATTATTTTCACCAAAGAAATGTAGCAGAATACATTTTGACCTACATTTATGAAGAAATGTTATTTATTTATTTGCAAACTTTTATAACAGAAATGAAAAAAAGTGCGTTTTTTTTTCAAAAGTTTCAGGTTTTTTTTTTTTGTTTTATTTAGGAAAAAATAAAAAACTGGTGATTATATACCACCAAAAGAAAGCTCTATTTGTGTGAAAAAAAGTGATAAAAATTTCATATGGGTACAGTGTTGCATGACCGCGCAATTGTCATTCAAAGTGCGACAGCGCTGAAAGCTGAAAATTGGCCTAGGCAGGAAGGGGGTATAAGTGCCCGGTATTGAAGTGGTTAATACATCATCAAATGCATTTTTTTTAAATGCAAGCAGTGTAAGTACCTGAATTTGACTTGTTATCAGCCTCTTGCAGTCTCTGTACAGTGGAGCCCAGAATAACAAAGGAAAAAGTAGCACAAGTAGGAGAATACTGATAGGAGGACAGAGCAGAGTGACAGAGAGCTATGCACTTCATTGTACTGTTTCTCCTTCACAAGCTGGAGGAGATTCCTGACTCCTGAACAGCCTGGGCTCACAATAAATGGTTTGAACATTGCTGGCTGACATTGAATCCAGAAGACTGAGGACATCAAGTGGAAGAACAAAAATACTGTGAGGGGGAAAATCTGCATTGAATTGAGTAATGCAAATGGAAAATCTGAGTTTGATCACTGTGTTTTAACAATCAGATCCCTGTGTGTATCCCTAATTAGAGAATATTTCCTGATTGACTTCTTTTCAACCAGTGGATATGATGAGTAGATGGTCAGATGTTCTGCCCTCATATCATTGTTTCTATAATGAGTCATGATGTTCCTCACCTTCACTATGACTATATCAGCTGCTATCTGTATGACCTGCAGTGTTATGGAGCACCTTTTTATGGCACTTCCTCTCTGCTGTCTGATATAACAATCTTGAAAGATCACAAAACACTGTAAACAACTGCCAAGTGCAACACTAAACAGTGCGGGAGTTCTGAATCACATTCTAATCTTGTGATGACTCGTAATATCCTGCCTGGCTTCCTATGATTTTATTAGACACTCAGGGCATTTACGTACGCACGTTCCCGGAGGTGCAATGGCTGACAGCGATTGTTTGGACTACTATTGTTCTTTGTATGTAAAATAATACCACACATGACTTCTTAAAGTCCAACATCCCTAAATTTGATATTATAAGACAACTAAATAAATTTATCTTTGTTTATTTTATTGCCTTTTGTTCCCTTATACTTGAAATATTGTATCCAAATGTCATTGTTAGAATTTTATTTATCAATGAATTGTCAAAAAACGTAAGCTGACTGTAAGTATTGCAAAGACAACTGCAGATAACTAGATAACTAGTCACACTATATCTCAAACACTTCTCATTGGGCACAGTAACCCTAATCTACTAATGGAGTAGAGCAGTGGTCTACACGGGGCTGCTGTTAGAAATCACTGGGCCCTGTACAGCCTACCTGATAGGGATCTCCCTTCCAAAGGTATCAAATGATAATTCCTCTAAAATGCCATGTCTGCACTGCTATGCTTCGCAGCCATGGCAGAAATGATACCCTCATGAACAAGACCCATTCAAGTGAATAGTGCTAGTCTGCAAGCACTCCACAACTGTATGCAAAACACATGGCTGCGATGCACTAGTGTGGGGTTAAAGCGGGCGGTGAGGAGACAATATACCCCTTCATATACCCCCTCACCATCTGTTAAATGCTCTCTTAAGGGCAATCAAAATGCTGACTGCTCTTCAGAGAGCAAAAAACTCTGTGGAGTCAAAGCAGTCAAAACCTTGAGGCCCCCTTTGCAGGTTTCTGGAGTTTTCTGGAGTTTGCACCAAGATTTTTTTACAAATTGACAGCTGGAAGAAGATGAGCTTTTCGGAGTCAACCTGTAATGTGAACCTGATGCCTCTTGTTATTGGGTACATTACATTATTACAGAATTTTTTCTATTGAATCTTTAATGTAAGGTTTTCATTCCTTTGAGTTCATTAATTTTTTCTATCTTTTGTAAACAATTTAAGAAAGCTTCATTTTAATTTTATGTCAAATTCAAATCAATATTTTTTGATCCATTGTCGTGGGAACCCTTAAATGGCATGAGGTCCATAGACTAATGCCTGCTTTACCTATTTGGTATCCAGCACTGTATCAACCAGTGGATCCCAGGGATGTGTCAATTAGTTTTAATGGTGAGCTATTAGACTATGTACACCCGAAATCTGGATTGTCATGATACATATAGTCTTAAAGGTGAATGAAATGTAAAATTCCTGCATAACTTTAGAGCACGTGTTTGGGTGGTTTGTCTTACATTCCTTGAGCTTTGAATGAACCATGTAAATCAATCACACTGCAACATACAATCATGAATGATTAAGTTCTAAAGCCTAGATAGTAAGCGCTAACGAGCAGGGCCCTCTGTTTCCTCTTGTACCAAATTGTGTTGTAACTGTAATGTCTACCTTCATTTTGTAAAGCGCTGCACAAGCTGTTGGCGCTATATATATCCTGTATTATAATAATAAAACCTCACTGACAACAACCTTCTTGACCCTTTACAGTCTGGCTTTCGCTCTCTACACTCCACTGAAACTGCCCTACTAAAACTCACTAATGATCTACTAACTACTAAAACCAATGGCCACTACTCCATACTCTTACTACTTAACCTCTCTGTGGCTTTTGATACTGTTGACTATCCCCTCCTCAAAAAAAACTCTACTCTCTTGGCCTCCAAGACTCCACTATCTCCTGGTTCTCCTCCTACATATCGCAGCGCTCCTTCAGCGTTACCTATAACGCTGCCTCCTCCTCTCCACTTCCTCTTTTTGTAGGGGTCCCTCAAGGTTCTGTCCTTGAACCCCTTCTCTTCCCCATCTACACCTCCTCCCTTGGTCACTTGATAAACTCCCATGGCTTTAAGTACCATCCATATGCTGATGACACACAAATCTATCTTTCTGCTCCTCACCTCACCCCTTCAGTCTCCTCTTGCATTACTAACCTACTACGTGACATATCGTCATGGATGTCTCTCCACTTCCTCAAACAAAATCTTTTGAAAACGGAGCTCATACTATTCCCCCCAGCCTGTGCCCCCTCCCCTGATTTCTCCATCAAGATCAATAACAAAACTATCAGTCCCTCCCCTCATGCCAGGGTACTAGGTGTAATCCTAGACTCCCATCTGTCCTTTCAGCCCCAAATCCAATCGCTGTCCAAATTTTGTAGACTTCACCTCTGCAACATCTCCAAGATACGCCCGTTCTTAACCTCGGAAATCACTAAGCAACTTATTCACTCCCTTGTTATATCTCGCCTTGACTATTGTAACTCCCTCCTCATTGGCCTACCTCATCGCAGGCTATCCCTTCTTCAGCCTATCATGAATGCTGCTGCCAGACTCATCCACCTTACTAACCATTCCATATCTGCCATCCCTCTCTGCCAATCCCTCCACTGGCTTCCCATTGCCCAACGGATAAAAGTCAAAACATTACCAATAACATATAAAACCATTTATAACTCTGCCCCAAATTACATCACCAATCTTATCTCCAGATATCACCCAAATCGTCCTCTCCACTCCTCCCACGAACTCCTGCTCTCTAGCTCCCTTTTCTCCTCCTCCCATGCTCATCTCCAGGACTTCTCCAGAGC